ATCGAGTATCGAATATTTTCCTTAGTATCGGTATCGAGTTGAAAAGTTTAGTATCGTGACAACCCTATTTTATATGTTCTTTTAATTCTTTAGTTGGATTTTTAATACTAATAAAATAAAACAATTTATAATATTTGAAACATGTATGAAATATATAAACCCCCAAACTACTTATTTTAAGGAACATTTATTTATTTAGAGCTGAATATATTTTGAAATAAAAATAGATGGTGTTATTTCACTCTATATTTATTTATTAATAGATTTAACCCTGTAATGCCAAATGTATCATATTTGATACCTTTTGCATAATTTAATGGTAAAAAACTTTTCTCAAAATCCTATTGTACACAATCAGATATATCTGATAACAGAGAGCAGAAGACTACACAAAAAATAATCTTGACTTATCGCATTGTAATAGATTATTAATATCAAAAATGTATTTCTGTTTTTTCTTTTTACATATTTTGTTAAAAGGCCAAATAAGGACTTCAGACCAAAAAAAAAGTAATTTTCTGTTTTGTTTTATTCTTGGATCGGGCTTTAAAGGGTTAAGTTATTACATGAAATGTCATTCAACATAAGAATTTGTAGTTCACTGATTAATGCATTTTTTATTTATTTCTAATATTTGAACTATGTATTACAATCATTGTATTGTATACCTCAGGGGTCACATCAGTACTGTTGTATCTTGTGACCCTCCACTTTATATCTCTTGACAGAGATGGTAAACCTACTTTTTCTCTGATATTCAAGCAGTCTCAAACTGTAACCATGTGCCTAAGAAGAACAAAGAAGCTGATTTATGTCTCTGCTTGAAAACAACAACAACAACCAGTTGGAAAAGACTTTGACAAGACAGTAAGAATTTCTAATTACTATAAGAAGACAATTAGTACTTTCTCATAGATCCTTACAATAAATTTCCAAAGTGAGTGAAGTCAGACAGAAGAAAATTACTTTATTATATTCCACATGCATCAATGTATTTCTATGATTGTAGGTCATAAGTTAACCTACACCACTTTGACCAAGCAATTTCAGAAACAAGAACAAGGTGCCATGTTTCCATACAGGGTTTAAATGACCCATAAAGACTCAAATATATATGCAAACACCTCCACTGAAAATGTATGATCATTTGAAACCAATCGTGAGCTATTTGGAAAAATGTATTAAAATGTTTATGTTTAAGCTTTCAAGCCACAACCGACCAATCACTGGGCCTACCAGGTGATCTGTTACAGCCACTGGGATGAACCATCATGTGGAATGTCCTACTTTGACATTTTAAAGTTAGTATATTAACCAAAAACTAACAACAAAAATACAGCAATTAATAACTTATAACTATTTACTAAAATTAAAGAGCACTGAGAATCAGTTTGTTTGTGTTTTATGGGTAGAGATTGTCTCTGCAGTCATTTTGGAGTCTAGCATGTAATTAAATATAGGCTGTTTAAGCCATTTAATGCCTATATTATGTAGAACCATAAATTCATTTGAACAGCAATGATGTATAAACATGTTCACAGCTTTATTAGGTAGTGCCTCATAAAAATACTAATCTGTCTTCAATGATTGTTTTGGAAAATATTGTTGCTGTGTTCATTTTCCTGTTGGTTCCTTGTGATCAGTATAGATTGACCCTGAACTGGTTTCTTTGAAAAAAATGAAAATGTTGTCCACTGTTCCCCCCAAAAAAATAAAAATAAATAAAAAAATATTTTCTCTTAATGTCTAAATCCAAAGCAAAGTCTGTTCTTGACTGTTGTGATGTAGGTACTTTACCTAAAATCAATGGTCTTCCCAAGCTGATTAAAAGTTGTGCATAGAGCACAATTTAGCGACAGTTTGTAACTGTTTCACCCACGCTTTCATTGTAAAGTGTTCATAGCAAGATTTCTACAGGAAATGTTATGTGGTTGCAGGGTAGTAATGGCAAATTGAAATTAAAGGATCTGAAATTTGATCAGAAGTGTATCAAATTACAACAGGGAAATCGTTCATTAGTTCATTAATAAATTATTACATCTAAAAAAAAAAAAAAGCTGCAGAAAACACTGTTACAACTGCACAAATCTGTACTAAAAATGCACTAAAAAAAGTAAACCACTTCGGTTTAATTTTGATCTTAACAGTTTTAAGGTTGACCCAAAAAAATACCTTTAATATATTTAAAAGAAAATCAGTACAAATGATTATTTTAACTGCACAAACCTGCGCTATTAAATCATGAATTCAGTCTATTTGCTAAGTTTTTTCACATGGATGGGATGTCAGCTTCTAGCAGCTCAATGTCATGATTCCTTGGTCTTTAAATGGGTATGGATGGATGTGTGTTTGTGTGTGTGCAGTGTTGTTGCTCCTGCAGGCAATGCAAAATTAATATGACAGACGTCAGTATTTTGATTAAAAAAAAAAAACTATTTACATCAAAGTAGTAAAATTATCTATGAGTTTCAACACAGACAGCTATAATCTGACAAGAATTTCCTCACTGACCCAAAAGTTTAATAATTCTCTTATTTTCTTTTTTATGAACAGCTCAAGTATCCGCGATTATACAAAAGATTGGTTGTTTTCCTTGAAAAACAACCTTTTCTGTTTGTATCCCTCCAGTTTTATGGTCACAGGTGGTTTAATCTGTCAGAAAATTACTGTTAATAGCTCCAGAATTAAAATGTCTTTCTCTGCCTTTAAACACAATAAAATAGCATTAAACTTCATGCACAGCTCATCCATGGCTTTAATGTTTGTGGTTCATCCATCAAGTTTCCAGGAAAGAGGCCACCAGAGAGTGAATTCCCTGAATGAGCCGCCAACCAATGGGAAACAATGTGCTGTTTCACATAAAGTCATACAAAGACTTTTTTTTGTGAAGATGATGTTTATTTTCTACTGAAGAAGCTGGTGAAATTACATAAGTGCAAAATAACTGGTTCACAGTGGAAGGGCAAAACGCAGTGATGCTGATTAAGAGCTATGAGGGTCAGAGAGTTATGATAAACAGAGCTAGCGTCAACAGTAGATGCAAAGTATTCTTAAAATAGCAGAAATCACACTAAGCATCAGATGCAATCCTTTTCTAAATCCTGAGCTGAGATAGTTCTCAGAGAGCGAGAAGAGAGGAAGAGAGGAGGAAAGGGCATGGCGGACGGAGGAGGGGAGAGGCTGGGTGGGACAGAGATGATGGATGGAGTGTCCAAGAGGGACCCGTAGCTGGATTTCTGCAAACACATCGAAGAGTCTGCTGCAGAGCCATGGAAAAACACAGGAGGGTCCATGGGGTCTGTGGGAACATCTGCAGGAGGAAAGGTCTGAAATTCAGTATGATGTTAAAATATTATACTTAATTAGAATAGAGGGGGGAAAATATCACCTGCTTTCATTTATTTAAAGATTATATTAAAAATAAATTCTGTTTATGACTAAACAGAAAACTGGACATACTAAAGGATGATCACAGAAGTCGACAGGTAACAGTGCCTTGCAAAAACATCCTTGCTTCAGTTCTTTTCCCTTTTCTTCAACAAAGTTCCATTCATTTTATTGGGATTATATGCTACATGTCAATACAAAGTATGCATAGCTGTAAATTGAAAATTAAAGATGTTTATAGCAGGGTTACATTAAAAAATAAGAAGATGGAAGAAGTTCCTCTGGGCAGATGAGGCCAAAACTGAACTATTTGGCCTAAATATAGAAATTCTTTGTGAAGGATAACTAGCACAGCATCACGCCATGTTGGAGAGATGTTGTTCCCCAGTAATAACAGTGAAGCTGGTTTGTTTGGTAGAGGAATGGAGCTAAATCAGGACAAACTTGGAGGAAAACCATTTAAAGGCTGGAAGACCTAAGAATGGGGTGGAGGTTCACCTTTCAGCAGGAAAACCAACCATAAACATACAGGCAGAATGGTTTAGATATGTTTAAAAGCTCTAGTTAAAGTCCAATTAACAATCTTTAGAAATATTTCAGCCTGGCATCCAACAAGATTTATATAACCTGTAGATGTTCAAATCAGGGTTAAATATATAAATACTAGTATAAATACTAGCTGCACTTTTCAGATTATTTCCTACCTTAAAATCCAGACAATTTGGCGTACATTTCCATTTTTAAAGTCATGTATATTTTAGAATTTCTAGATGTAACTTGAAGAGAGTTCAAGGGTTTATGAACTGAGTCTGATTTCAGTACCAAAGTCATAAATATACACAAATTCGTATGAAATATTTTTAAAATATAATTTCAAACTCTGAATTTCACATATTTCTTGAGA